AACTCCTCAAAGTCTCATAGGAAGAACCCTGGCCTTGCAGGGGAAGTGACCAATGCTCTATCTAGCCCACCCGTGCCTTAGTTTCCTATTAGGCCGCAATCATCCACTGTGCCATGGGGAGGATGGTTTGACAGTTCCTCAAGGGCAGCATCTTCCTCCTCACCACCCTCCTCAGCATCCTCTCCTCCAGCCCACACTAAATCACTGAACAAGATGGGCAATGTCTTGAGAATGGACTACCTGGAACATGACACCCCTGTTTTCTCTCTGAAGAGACCAAGGAGAGGAGCTCCATGGTGAATGATAACCGGTGCCCCCCGGTACCCTGGTCAGGATAGACATTCCCTTTTGCAGTGTACTCAGGTCTTCCCATAGAACTTGGGGTGATGGTAGAAGCACCACTGATAGCACCCATTCTTGCCTCTCTGTCTCAGTGAACAGGGGATTGAAGAGAGTCCACAAAGGGGACTTTGCAGAGGGAATCAAACCACTGTGAGATCCAGAGTGGGGATTCAGAGCCTTTTCCCAGCTCCTGGGAGATCCATGGAATTCATGCTGGAACTTCTTGCCTTACCACACACTCAGCCTAACATGGGTGTTGCAAGGATCTGGTGGCTACACCCAGCTCGCTAAAGAGAAGGAGGTGGTATCACCTGCAAGGCTACTTGAGAAGCCCTGGGCAGGGGAGTTCCCACCAGGCTCTCCGGAGCTGTCTTCCCCTCTCCCGGCATCCCAGACCATCTTTGCTTAGGGGGTACCTGGTCTGGGGATAGGCATCAGACCCACCACTCATGAAATGTGGCTGTCACACCCTTCTCCATGCCATGCTCCCAGAAGACTGGCCCTGCGAGTTCTTCTGTAACAAGATTCTTTTCTGACTTAGCTTCTTGTGTAGAGAAAGTTCTGAATTGGGAACAGAGGGTTTGACTCCTGCCTCTGCCTTTAATGAGCTTAGTGCATGACCTGCAATCCACCTCACAGGCGGTTTTGCTGGTTCACGTGGAACCAGCCTCCCTGTGTGATGGGAAGTGTATTGGCTCTGGAGTTAGGTGGGCCTGTATCTGAGCCCTGGTACTGCCCCTTCTGGGTTGTGTGAATTATATGAGCTGTAATCTGTAGCTCAGTCTTCTCTATAAAGCAGAAGTAATAATACCTTCCTCAGAGGTTTGCGGAGTTAGCTAAGAGTGTATGTAATCTATGGAGCACAGTTCTGGTCTGATGCACATGGTTGCTCTGAATCGGAATTGACTCAGCGACAACTGGCTGACTTAATGCACCCTGCATAGAGTCAGTATGGGACATGCAGGAAGCAGGAAGTGCGTGATACATTTTGTCTTATAGATAGGACCATTCCTGAAAGGTCCTATCTATAAGACTGGGAGCGTAGGTGGTAAAGGGATGGCAAATGATGCCCCAATATCCAATCATGAGACTTGGAGGCACAATTTTTCCCACATGAGTAGGCAAGGTCCCCCTTCCAGAGTGGGTCTCAAGGGAAAAGTGGAGTCCTGACTTGGAAGGGAAGCTAGAACTCACAGGGCATTCTTCCTGGGGACACAATGAAGCACAGGAGGTTTTCCTAGAAAGGTCAAGCCCTGGGACAGGTGTGTCTGCAGCCTGAGTAGCAGGGCCTCTCTCCCATACAGTCTCCCCTAAAACTGCCATCCAACCTGTCCTCTTTGTGACAGCAGCAGCTAAAAGTGTTAAATACGCTTCTATATGCTTCTATACTCCTTAGCATAGTGGTTACAAGTCGGGCTGCTAATCTCATGGTCAGCAGTTTGAAACTACCAGCAGCTTCTCCAGAGAAAGATGAGATTTTTTTTTCTGCTCCCGTAAAGATTTATAGCCTCAGAATCCCTATGCAGGCTCGCTATGAGTTGGAGCCAACTCCACAGCACATAACCACCACCATCTATACTCCTTGACAAACTCCCCTACCCCCTGAGTATTTCCCAGGACCCTCCCAATGCTCCCATGAACTAGTATCTGATGGATATTTTCCTGCCTCTGGCCCAGGACTATAGCCCAGCTGGCATGGTGCCTGGCCATACCTACTGTCAAATATTGACTTTTACCCTTTAGACTTTCATCTTCTCCTAGGGGTGGTCTTGTCCATGTCCCTAATATTTTGACCCTTTTCACAGCACAAGCTAACCAAAGAACTTGAATTCTGTTATCTCACTGGATGTTGGCTCCCATTCCAAAGTCAAAGACACTGGGCTTTGTTGTATTCCATAATTCTATCAATTACCTATGTGGCCATGGTGTTTGTTGATCTCTAGCACCACTCATTGGAGCTGATTCTATCAGGAGCAAATTATGTATGTTCAATTTAATTCAAGAGGCAATTTTTTATAGCCCTGCTTCCTGGGATATATCTGGGTCCCTTTCCTAAATCCCATGGACTTGCAGTCTTTCTCCCTCTAGGCCCATCCAGGCTCTATCTTCCTTCTGGTAAAATGTAGGAGCACTTCATGGAGCACTTTGAAATTGGAGCTCTCCTAGAAGTTCCTGAGCTGTGATCTGAGGCTCAAGGTAGACCACAAAGCAGGCCCTCATGGCTACCAGAAAATAGAAACTTCTCCAAGGACCCTCACAGTTCGTGCTGTGAAGTTTGGGGTTCTGTCTTTAAAAAGAAACTGATCATAGAGTGATATGAATGTAGGTAGCAAGAGTGCTGGAGGTAGAAGGACTATCAATGTTTGAGTGGTGATTGCACTTTGGGTGAGAAGAATCTGTCAGGAAAACATGGCCTAAGAAAGGAAGAGGAGGTGCAGGTAAACACCTGTCTTCATTTTGGCCAAGGATTATTTTCAAGTAAGGTAAGGTCAGAAACATGGTCATAAACACAGGTTTGAGAATTTGATAGAATGGATTCAAACTTGGGTTTCTATGATTCTAGTAGAATGGCTTTGGTCAAAGGACTTAATCTCACATTCTCCACCTTGTAAAGCAAGGCTAATGGTAACTACTTCATGTGTTGTAAGGATTAAGCAAGACAGTATTTAGAGAATATGGGTACAGTGCATAGCACATGGCAAGCATTCAATAGATGGCAATGTTAAGAAATGGTCAGCATCATTGAAAGGTATCAGAACTATATGACAGGAGAGAAGGCAGGAAGATCTTGAGCGAGGTCCTAGGAGAAGTCACACATATGCTTTTTCCAGAGCACTTCTGGAGTAGACAATTTCAAATTAAGCGAACCAGGCTGGGTGAACGGCAGGCCCTCCAGGAAGCAATAGATGGGCTGAGATGACCTAAGAGGATCATAGGCCCTGGTTGTTAGCTGTCATCCTGAGTCTCTGGGGAGCTCATGCACAATAGGAAATGCTGCCCAATCCTGTACTATCCATAGGACAATCAGTTGCTGACCAAACCATTGTGATCCATAGGGCTTTCTCTGCCAGTTTTTTGGAGTAGATCACAAGGCTTTTCTTTCAAGTCTTAGTATGAAAGTGCCATTGGAATCTATTCATTATAATAGCAATACTGAGGCACATGGTGGCTCCACATACAGTACATTGTCTGGAAATCAAACCCAAGTTTTCTACATGGAAGGCTAGAATTAATTCTACTATTGAAACACTAATGCCTCCTCCTCCCTATGATTCTGACTCGTAGTGACCTTATAAGCCATTAAACTCCATGAAATATCCTTGTGAAGCTGACCCCTGCTCAGGTAGAGATCTCTAAGCGCTCCCCACACAGACTCTAAACTGTTCTCTGAGAAAGTGGAACAACTCAATGATAGCAATAACACGAGGATACCCACTCTGCCCAGCGGGAGAATGAGAAACAAGGAACCCATCATGCCCTGAACAGTGTCTAGCCAAAGGTCACCGCTACATTTCTAGAAACAAGTTGAGAAGCAGTGTATGTCATGTTAGGTCCAAGAAGTTTGGTGGGTTGGAGGAGTCTGATGGAATTTGCCATGGGCATGGGCCAGGAGTGGACGATACCAAAGGCTCAGCTAAGACTGGTTAAAACTCTAATGGAAGAGGCTTCAAACTCTGGTGTTCAAACAGAAAAGAGCTGCAGGGGCCAAACAGGCATGAAGCTGCCCTCTTCCAGTGTGTGCTGACTCCCACTGGTGTGGGGAGAAGACCCCTCATCCTGGCTGCCCAAGGGCTCATAGGGTCCAAAAGAATCCTCCCAGAACTCCAGAATCCACACGGGTTGGCTGTGAGGAGGCTTCTCGAGCTGAGGAGTGCTCCACAGCTGGGCAGGGGGAGCTCAAGGCCAGTTTGAGCTGCTCTCCCTTGCCAAGGCCACCTGGCATCACTGCTATCAGTGTCTGTTTCTCCTCCGTCCCATATTCATTCCTGGCTTCCAGCATCCAGCATAGGGCCTGGTACATAGTTGCTGTTAAGTACCATCAAGTTAGTTCTGACGCATAGTGATCCTATATAAGGTTTCTGAGGAGTGAATGGTAGGTTTAAACCCCCAACGCAGTGTTTACCCTACAGTGCCACACCAGGACTCTAAATATGACAGTTCCCAGTGACTAGTCCCAGCTTGGTCAGTATCTGTTGCCTCTGTGAGCCACACTAGGCCTGCCTCCTGAGCAAATCATTAGCTTGGGTTGGAGAGGGAGATTTTTCTCCATCAGGGGTAGGTGGGCAGAAGTGTCAATAAGAAATGATTCAATGAAGGAAGGAGGAGAATGGAAACATCTCAGGACTTCCTTGCTATGAACATTTCTTCTGTACTCAGTACTGGAACACTAATCCAATTGCTCATTCAACAAGCATTCATTGAGTGCTTTCTACATAGCTGCATGCTGCAGGTACTGGGAATGTAGACATGCAAAGTCAGACAGGGCCCTAGGATCCCGGGACCTTCCCCGCTGGAGAGAATCAGCTATCCAAGAAACACAAAACAGCATGAGGCTGTAATGCAAGGGGCAGGTTTGGGAGGGTGGTGGGGAGGTCTTTCCAGGGCATTGCTTTGGAGTGATGCTTGAAGGATGAGTCCACTCTCCTCTCAATCCACAGGAGGTACAGTCTTCATGCCACCTGCTGACAGTGAGGATCATCCGGATGAAAAACGTCCGCCAGGCTGATGTGTGTGAGTATCCTCCTCCCTCCTTCCTTCTGCTCATGGGGCTGGGCTAAGATGGAGAGAGACCTAGCTGGAGAACTTGCCAGAGGGGTGCATGTGCATCTGCCTGCATATACATGTGTGTGCACATGTGTGTGTTTGCATATAGGTGTATTCTGCACTGAGGTTGCATTTTGATCTTCAGTGACTTAGAATTCATATACATTTTTCCAGGCTTTTACTCTCTACCCTTCACACTAGCTGTAACCATGGCACTACCAGTTTCTCTGTGTCTGAGCCAAAGGGGGACAGAGAAGACACAAAAGCCACAATACTGAGTGTACGTTCTAACGAAGGGGTATCTATGTCCAAAGCGGGTATAGAGTGGAAGATCTTGCCACAATGGAATTTAGATCTGACTAGACACTGAGAGCTGGGTCAAGGAAGTCTCCTTGGAGGGCTGGGGTCTGAGAACTCAGATTGTGAGCCTACTCTTGCAGGGAAAGGGGCACCCTAAGGGAGGAAGTCCTGGTGTAATGTTGTGGGATAAGCACTGGACTGCTAACCACAGGTCAGCTGTTCAAATCCACCAACCGCTTCTCAGAAACCCTGTACAGGGTCGCCATGAGTTGGAACTGGCACTTAACAATAACAAACAAGGAAGGGAGGGCCTCCATCCCCCATAGCTCCTGACACTTGCTGTGGGTCAGCCTGGGGTCCAGATTTCATGAGCTCTTCCCATCAGCCTGAAGGGTAGTACTGTGAGACCCATTTGACAGATTAGTATTTTTATCTTATGATTGTCCAAGGCAGAAGCAGTGTTTGATTCCAGGTCTGGTGGCTGGAACAGAGAGGGGACGAACCAGGAGAGGGAGGCCGGGCAGTGGTGATGCTTTCTAAGTCATGTGATGGCAGGGATTGCATGGCTCGCTGGTGGTGCCTCTGTAGACTGTGTTCCAGCTGAGGTGGGGAGAGACCAGGAACCTTGCTAGGAAGTTGCTGCTGCAATCAGAAGCAGAGTGCCCAGTAAGCAAAATTAGCATGGGCTTCCGAGTGCTTTCGTAGCCAACAGTTTCACAAATTTTATTTACATATTCATAAATAAGTACAAGGAAGCCCGCATTTACCTTCCTTACTGGGGACTCTATCCCAGTTAGGGACTGTAAGCTGGCAAAGAGGCTTTGTATATAAGAAGGTGCTGAGTGTGTTGAGAGAGAGACAGATGCCAGCCATACCTAGAAGCAGAATCTTTGATGTGGTGAAAAATGTGAAATTGTTCACAACAGACTAGTAAGTAAGCATAAATATATCTGTGCTTATCTTGCTTGTTGGGTAATCTGACACTGGCTACAAGCCAGAGAGCATCAGCACAAGCAAAAGAATCCATCAGGATTCAGACCCCACCCTGACCTGTCAGGGCAAGGTGCCCAGAGCCTAGGCGGGTAGTAGTAGTTGCAGCAGACTTTAAGTCTGGGCTTGTGTCTGCCAAGAAAACAGCAAGAGGGACAGGGGGTTCTCAGGGGCTTCCCAGCCTACCTGACCCTGGGAGGAAGTAGGTGATCTGAGGTGTCTGAAGTGTGCCCTGAGCCCAGTGACAATCTATGGAGGTCACTCAGATGCCTTACTCTCTCTTGGGCAGAGTTCACCCCACGACCCTTGGGGATGATGACATTGGTCTGCAGCAGGACTTGCCCTCCTCCAGTTGCTCTTAGGTGTGTCTGTCCCCAGCCCTCAAAGCACCAGGCCACACACTCCCTCTCACTCTGCATGCCTGCACTTGTTGCTCAGAAATTCCCATTGTCCAGGCCCATCCAACCTTCTCCCTAACATACCCATCACCTATGGATCCCACAGGCAATAGGGGGGAAAGCAAGCAGCTTGGTAAATGGAATCAGTCTGGCTCTACCACCCTCTTCCTTCCTTTCCCTGCACACCCCTCTAAAACACAGGCTGCCTTTTGCGAGTGCCCATCCCATTCCCCATCCCAGCTAAGTTGTGTCTGGACTCCACAGTCCTCACAGGTTGAGTTGGGGGCTGCATTCCCTAGGGTAGGTTCGAGAAAATATTCTGATGTTTTCAGGTCCTGGGTTACCCTCACCGAAACTTGTTCCTTTCTAACTTCAATAAAAAATGGACCTTTCTCTGATTTAGTCTTCTAATCCAGACCTAAGTTTCCTGAGATTTCAAAGAAGCTGAAAGGCCATCAACACACCATGCCAAGAACTAAAGGAGTGTTGAGCCCAGCCCTAGGGACGACTGGGAGAGAGGCAGGCCCTGAAACTCAGAAACCTCCCAGCCATTGGGAGTTTGTACTCTTGGTGGGGGAAACAAATGAAAAACCAAACCAGTACCTCAAGGAGTGCCAGCCAGGTGTCTCTACAGGTATTATAGAGGCAGTGTCCTGAATATTAGTAGAGAAAATTGAGTCATGTTTCCACAATCCAGGAAAGGAGATAAGTCATTCAGATGACCAAGGCCTCTGTCACCTCTTGAGCAACATGAATTAGAATCTATCTATGCCTAAGAAATCCCCTTTAGTGGATGAAATTCTCAAAATTGGGTCACTTGCTTAACCACTCTTCATTGCCAACCAAGGAGGTTGTTATCCTTACAGTCAGCTAATGACACCTGCCTTGGATTGTTACATAGCCCCCCTCCTCCCGCTCACCTTTTTCCAGCATTCCCCACCTCTTCAGGACCCCTTGGGCTGTATTCTCCTCCTTTCCAAACTTTGACAAACAAAAACCCATCTCGCAAAGGAGCTGAAAAACAAAGGAAGTATGGGTGATGTCTGATCAATCCCATCTCTTGCAGGAATACTTTTATCTTAACCAGAGTCTTATGTCCCATCAAAATACTGAGATCTTATTTAATGAGAGAATTTAGGCATGGACTAATGATAAGAAGGGAAATTGCCTTTATTGTTGTTGTTGTTAAGTGCCGTCGAGTCGGTTCAATGATAAGAAGGGAAATTGCCTTTATAGGGTCCACCAAATCGTGCTCTTGGGAGAAAAGATTGGAGTAGGGCAAGACACGAGACGGGAATCCAGTTGGGAAGCAGCAGCAGTAATCCTGGCAAAAGATGATGTTGGCAAGACATGTGGCAGTGAGGGTGAGAAGTGGGCAGGCTGGAGAGACAGAAGGTGTTAAATCCATACAATGTGAGACTTTAGGACTATGCTTGGTTTCTGGCTTGGACACTTGAGTTGTTGGAGAGGAAGAGCAGGTTGGACATGAAAAGGCTACATAGGGATGGTGAAGTCATCATATTCTTTTCTTTAATATTGTGAGAAAATATATATAACATAAAATTTGCCATTTTCATCATTTTTGAATGTACAATTCAGTGACACTAAGTGCATTCACAATACTGTGTAACCATTACTACTATCTAGTTCCAAATTTTTGATATTATTCCAATACAAAAACTCCTCTCAGTTCCTGGCCACCTCCATTCTACTTCTGTCTTTATGAATTTGACTACTCTATGTTCCTCAAGTAGCTCTGGTAGCATAGTGGTTATGAATCAGGCTGTGAATTGCAAGGTCAGCAGTTCAAAACTACCAGCTGTTCCACGGGAGAAAGATGAGGCTTTCTGCTCCCGTAAAGATTTACAGCCTTGGAAACCCTTTACAGGGTCACTATGAGTCGGAACCGACTCCATGGCACACAACAACAAACATGTTCCTCATAGAGTCTTGGTATGGAACGGTATGATAAGCATTCAACCGCAAGGTTGATTTGAACCACAAGGTTGTCAGTTCAAACTCACCAGTTACTCCTCAGAAACCCTCTGCAGGGTCATTATGAGTCAGAACTGACTAGACAGCTCTTAATAACAACAACATGTTCCTCATATAAAAGCTTGGAAATCCTATGGGGCAGTTCTACTCTGTCCTTTTAGGTCACTCAATGGCAACAGGGTAGGTACCTCATAAACATTGAATCATGCACTATTCCTCCTTTTGTGTATGGCTTATTTCACTTCCTTAGCATAATGTCTTCAAGGTTCATTCATGTAACATAATTTCATTCCTTTTCATGGCTACATACTATTTTATTGTATGGATACACCATATTTTATGTATTGATTTACGGATTATTGAATTGTTTCCACTTTTTTGACTATTATGAACCACGTTGCAATAAACACTGGCATACAAATATTTGTTTGAGCTGATGCTTTCAATTCTTTGGAGGTGTATACTAACAGTGAAATTGCTGGTGATGTCTATGTTTAGTCATAGGTAATTCTATGTTCATTCTTTGATAAACCGTCAAAATATTTTCCTGTTTTCTCTAACAGTTGAGGAGTCCTGGTGTGGTGCTGTAGGATAAGCCCTGAACTGTTAACTGCAAAGTTGGTGGTTCACACTGACCAGTTGCTCCTTGGAAGGCCTATACTGGGACACCATGACTCAGAACCGACTCAATGGCACTTAAAAACAACATATTTGCTCAACAATTTTACATCCCCAGAAGTAATGCACCAAGATTCCAATTTCTCTACATTATTGCTAGTATTTATTATTTTGATTTTTCATGAGAGCAATTTTTTTGGATCTGAAGTGGTATTTCATTGTGGCTTTGATTTATTTGCATTTGCCTCATGACTAATGACATTGAGTATTTTTACATTTGTTTCTTGTCCATCTTCTTTGGAGAAATGTCTATTCAAGTCCTTTGCCTAGTTTTAATTAAATTGTTTGCCTTTTTGTTGTTGAGTTGTAGGAGTTCTTTATATATTCTGGATATTAAATTCTTATCAAATGTATGATTGCCAAGTATTTTCTGCTATTCTGTAGATTGTTTTTTTCATTTTCTTGATAAAGTTCTTTGATGTACAAAAGTTCTTAATTTTAATGAAGTCCAATTTACCTATTGTTTCTTTTGTTGGTCATGATTTTGATGTCAAATCAAGAATCCATGGTCCAAAATTAGATATTGAAGTATCACTCTTATGTTTTCTTCAAAGAGTTTTATGGTTTTAATTCTTATATTTAGATACTTGATCCACTTTGGGTTGATTTTCATATATGATGTGAAATATGGGTCCATATGAGGCCATATATTCTTTTGATTCTGCTTGTTGGATTTGGGTCATTCTTTTTATCTGGATTAAATTATCATTATAACATCTAAAGGATAGTGTACTCTCACCTTTATTCATTGTAAGGAGAAATGAGAATTCCAGTTCACTGAGTGGTGAGCCCTCAAAGAGTAACCGGATACTGGAGATGAAATCAGAAGTCAGGAACACTTTTGATGCAAACCACAGTTACTACCTCTGATGAAGGTGACTTCGGTGTAGTGACAATGTAGAACTAAGTCATTCCTAGAGGACAGCCCTATTTGCCCTCTAACTGTTGTTGTTGTT